TATATATATATATATATATATATAAACATTCTAATTTTTTTGATTTCGTATTAGTAGAACCAAAATATTACTTTAATAATATTAAATAAGGGTAAAATCTCACCCTAAGTGCCAATTTTTATTGAACAATTTTGAGTTGTTTTTAAGAAAATGGCGTTTAAGCGTTACTGTAAATGTGAATCTTGGAGCTCTTTTTCACAGGAAATTTTTGCGTTTTCGAAAAACTTCATTAGAAATCATTTAAAGCAAATCCACTCACAAATGCAATAATGTATACAAATTGATGGAAATGAGCATATTAATGGCGTGAGATATATAAAAAAGTTACATTTGTGTAATTAAAAAAAATACCACAAATTGAACTTTATTATACTAAACTATGCAATTCGCACTATCCGTTGGAAAACTTTGAAGACATTTGGATACATTTTTGACAAAATAGCGTTTGATCTTTTCTGAAAATGCGGAATTTCGAGGTCATTTTCATAGAAAACTTGCGTTTTCGAGAAACTTTATATGACATTATTTATGATTGCAAATGCATAACCTCATAAATACATTAAGAGAGCTAACTTTGGTTACCTATTTGCCCTCCTCATGTTTTCATGTTGGAACCACTTCTCTTGGAAATCTTAATGCCATTTACATTATCAATACCTAACCTTGTCATTATGTCCTTGTTAGGAACTCTGCTTCTCAACACAGACACAGAAGGGCTCATTCATTTGGGAAGCTTTAAATCTTTTTTTTCAACATCACGTTTTATTTTTAAAGTAGAAGGTGGGTTGAGATACCACATCGGGTAATCTCATATCCGTACTATTCAACATATTGTTTTTAAAATGCCTCTTCGTAAACATATTCAATTGAATGTACTTACTTTTATGATCTTGCATTTCGGGGTTAATATAATTTCGGCTTTTCGACATCATTTCAGTGTTTATATATTTCTTACCCAAGGTTATTGAAGCTACACACTTTTTCAATAATTAAGTTGTTGGTAACAATTTTTATTATTCTCAAATATTATTATTGGTATACCATAGACCTAGTCTTTTTTATTAGATATCCTTAAATTATAAGTCTGCAGTCCTCGGTTAAGGTATGTTATATTTCTTTGGATATAATTTACTGAGATTACCAAATGCACTTGATTGTTCCACTAGTTTTTATTGTTCGGAGCGAATATTTTCATAACAATTATTACCAAAAACGCTCGTTGCTACATATATATCCAAAACTAAAAGATTAAACATCCCAGAGATTCAAGAAAACACGCACATAATTTGCCCACTTGGCCCCCTCGTAAGGCGCGTCTCACAACAGGCTTTTTAACTGTTTTTGACGTTCAATAAAATAAATTTTGCAAAAAAACTTTTGATTTCAGCTGCATAAGGTCAGATGTGGGAAGTGTTTAGTTCTCGAGGTAGTATTCCCCGTCCACTTTTTGTGGTACCTTCCATGCAGAACCCACATTTTTGTTTTGATGGTGGAAAAAGGGCATGGGTAACAACACTGATGTACTTTTAGAAGATCTGATGTTTTGCAATCATTGACCTTCATGTAAATTTCAGTGTTCTGCAACACAATTTTAATGGTACCTATCAACTTTTCTGGAGTGCCATAGCTCTCTAGGAATATACTATAATTTTGATCTTTCCTCACTGCCACTCATATGCTTTGAGTGTGTTTTGAGTAACAAAATTTTCTTGTACAGGCTACCGACTTGCAGCTAAGTATTCTGATGGTGGATCTTCCACCTTTGTGCCTACAGACTTGCACTGATTTTATAAGAAGGGTTTCGGTGTTACAGATTCTTTATCTTCACAACCTACTTTGAGGAATCTGTTAGCAAAAAACTATTTAAAAATGCTGGCAAGTTTACTCTATTTTAATGTTAGTAAGATGTTTAGAAGGCTTTTCCATTTCTATGTCAAGAGAGGCAGAAATCATAAGGTACTTAGTGCGAGGGAGTAACAATTTTTTAGAATCTATATTGAAGAAGTGGACGGAATGAAATCACGATATCTATTTGTTTGATTCCATAAATTATTTAAGAATATTGTACACCATTTTTTCTAAGAGTTTGCATAATGTAGAGGTAATAATATCACTGTATTGGTCTCTTCTTTAACTTAATAACTATTGTGAAAAAATACTTTCATTTAACAAATCAAAACTGTGTCAATATCTCAAAAATTAAAAATGTTTCCAAAGAGAAAATCAATTTATTTAGGTTTACTTATAGGTGTTAAAGTTTCTGTTTTGAACATCCAATTACAATACTTATCATTAGGTTTTAGAATCAGAAATAACCCCAAATATAATCCGCAATGAGTTTTGTTATTATTAGGAATACTGCAGGAAAACAAAAGGAAACTGTGATCATTATATGAAAGGGATTTATTGTATGCACTAAATTTTATGTAAAATACATGCTGAACCCAGAAACACAGACTTTTTAAGGATGTAACAGACTTTTGTTAATAATTTATTTTTATAGGAAATTATAATGAAATTAGTGTAGAGATATTATTGTACTTCTTTCCTCTACTGCATATATTGAAAATAAAAGAACAATTATAATTGAAACTTGGTAATAAGCATTTATTTTATTTTCAACCACAATGCGTTACAAAAAATCGTAGTATTCTTCAATCTGCAGCATATCCCGTGAATTTGTGAATTTTATGAAATCATCGAAACCTATAGAAAAGAAAATGACATAAGAGAAAGAGTGAAAAACAAGATAACTACCCAAATATCACAAAATCAGCGCATTGAAAAATTTTAAAGAAAGAGTTTAAATAACATGATCCTTAGAACAATTATTTTAAGAATACAAAAGCACAAATGCAAAATGCTACAGTATTAAAGTTAATAAAATTAAAGCTAACCTTCCATTTCTTCTGTTCTGAATTTTTAATTCTAGAACAAAGCGTTGGCGTTCGCCACCGAATCCTCCAACTCACTCACCACCACCACAGGCTCCTCCTCCACTACCACTACGGGTTCCTCCACCACCTCTACCTCAGGGACCTCGTAGTCAACTGCATTTGCATTGGCCAGGGAGTGACCCAAAAGAAAGGTGTCACCGAAGCTTTCTCCGAGGGCATTCGCGTTGGCCAAGCTACGACCTAAGGCATTAGCATTTGAAATGGCGCGTGAGAGAGCGTTGGCATTAGCGATTGCGCCGGCTAAAGCATTTAATTAGCGACACGCACCTAGGGCATTGGCGCTTGGACAAGCTAACGACCTTAAGGCATTAAGCGTTTGAACATAGTCGTGAGAGAGCGTTGGCAATTAAGCGGATTGGCGCGGCCGCATTTTGAATTTTGCGACACCGCCACCTAGGGCATGGGGCGTTGGACAAAGCTTAGAACTAAGGCATTAGGCATTTGAAATGGCGCGTGAGAGAGCGTTGGCATTTAAAGCGATTGCGCGGGAGCATTTGAATTTGCGACAACCGCCACCCTAGGGCATTGGCGTTGGACTAAGCTACGACCTAAGGCATTATGCATCTTTGAAATGGGCGTGCAGAGAGCCGTTGGCATAGCGATTGCGCGGCCGCATTCTGAAATTTGCGACACCGCCACCTAGGGCATTGGCGTTTCGGACAAGCTTCGGCCTAAGGCAACTTAGCGTTTGACAATGGCGCGTGAGAGACGTTAAGCATTAGCAACTGCGCGGGCAGCATTTGAATTGGCGACACCGCCTGCCAGGGCATTGGCGGTGGACAAGCTACGACCTACAGGCATTAGCATTGTGAAATGGCGGCGTGAGAGAGCGTTGGCATTAGCGATTGCGCGGGCAGGCATTTGAATAGCGACACCGCTCCAAGAGCGTTGGCGTTGGACAGAGACGTTCTAGAGGCATTGGCATTGGCCAAGCATCAATCTCCGAGGGCGTTGGCGTTGGCTTAGAGAACGTCAAGGGGTTGGGCAATTAGCAATTGGCATGGGCGGGCTGCATGCATTAGCGTTGGGCAATGGCTCGGGCCCCGCGTCTGGAGTTAGCCACACACCTCAAGAGCGTTGGCGTTGGACAGAGCACGTTCTATAGCATTGGCATCTGCCTAGGGCGTCCATCTCCAAGTTTGCAGTTGGGAGTTGGCTAAGGCAGCGTCAAGCGGGCGTTGGCAATTAGCGATTGCCACACCGGGCTGCATTAGCGTTGGCAACTGGCTCGGGGCAGCGTTGGACCGTTAGCCACACACCTCCCAAGGCATTTGCGTTGGGACAAGCTTCGACCAAGGGCATTGGCGTTGGCCAAGGCACGCCCTAGTGCGTTGGCATTTCCCACAGAATATCCGTAGGTCTGGAATGAAGAAAGACATACAATCAGTTTGAATATTAATATTTTCAACATTGTAAATATTGTGTTTCGTTAAATTGATTGCCAATTCATGTTTTCATTGATTTTGTTGTATATGTTTAAAAATAAATGTATGCTTTTATACATACATTATGTTTTTATACATGTACTTTATTCACCCTATGCAATCAGCACTGTATTGCAGACACGGTTAATGTCGGAGGTGGACTTGGTAAGGATGACTCAATGGCAGAATAATGGGGAAGAGAGCTGGCCGATGTGGATGGCCGAGAATGGCATGAATGTGACGTCATGAATGTGACGTCATGAATGTGACGTCTAACTTTTTCGGTTGGAAGGGAATTCGGACGGGCATCGCTGCCCGGTATGGATGATTGAGTGGTGTAGCAATATAGAGAGATTTTAATCATTATGTGACGCGTGTTTTTCCTTCCCAACGAATTGTCTCTCCCATACCCGTCCATCAACATCATACTCATTATCTCCTCTATCTGAATTAGAGCGTAAAAGTATAATTGTGAAGAGGCTTGGAGGTGAGGAGTGCGAGTGAGAGGGGGAAACGGAGGAGGAGGAGGGAAGGTTGAGAAAGAGGGAGACATTGAAGACAGGGAGTTAAGTAGAAAAGAAGAAAAAGAAGGGAGATGCGAAGAACGGAGACGAGCAAGAACGTAGGCAATGAAGAAAGTAAAAGAAAAAAGAAGCTGATTGGGCAGGAGGAGGAGAAAGATGCGAAGGAGAATACAAGACGGAGGAGTCAAAGAAGAAAGAAAAATTAGAAGAAGCGCACAGAGCACAAAAAACAATGATAAAGAGATGGTGAAACAGTCGCAAAATAAAAAGGCATACAAGTGGAAGACAGAGGAGAAGGAGAAGGAAACAGTAAGGAATACAGAAGAGATGGAGAAGATTAGTGTGTAATGAGTATATCGTTATGGAGTTATTTAATGCGTGGATGGGAGAACCAGAGAATACGATAACTTTCAGCAAAGATGCAAATCACCCAGACAACAGGAATATGTAACGCGGTGATGATATTTAAGCCTGGAAAATATTTATCCTGTATAATTCGGCTCGACAAGTTACATTTGGAAGAAAAGTTGGCGCCGTATACTTACTCCGCTGGCGAGCAAGATGAGAAGAGCGACCGGGGCCCACATTGTGGCAGAGGAGAAAGCAGGTGAAGGTGCCAGATTGAATCCAGCATTCTCTTTTATACCCAGAGATCCACCGATCGTAGGCCATCACTGTCTTATTATCGCAACATGAATCTAATTATGTCACTCTCATTAGCTCCGTATCATTTACTTACTCACCTCTCCACGGAATTTCATCCACCCAGAAACACTTTCAATGATTTATAGAATCTCTAATTTACTTCAGTAGGCATTAAAGGTATACGTGTTCGGATAATTAGGATGTAGCCCACATTGACTCATGTGAAGACGTATAGCCAGACGCACGAGTTGATGACCAAAATATTTGAGATCACATCTGTAATACACATTCACGTATTTTTAATTTTCAAAATTCTAAAAATGAAAATGTCAGTGAAATTTAAAGAAATGAGAAAATTTTAATTATCACGATGGTTTAGTAATCTTTACTACAATACTGATATTTTGTGGACAGTGTTTGATAGAAATTGCCCCCATTCTTTACTTTTTACTTGTATACATATGAACGTATATGTGGAGCAATAGAGGCTGCCTCTCTGTCCGTCCGTCCGTTCGTCTGTGAACAACACCAACACCTAACGTATTCCTAAGATTTTTTCCGAAATAAATATTCCCTGGTCGATCAGGTCCGACTTCAACCCATACGATTTTGTAATAATTCTAAACTTTTGGACTATCGTACATGAAGCCCTTGGGACATTTTCGAAATATTCACAAAAATTGTTCCCCATTTTTCTTTAGTACCTTTAAGAATATAGTGAAATACATATAAAAAGACGACATGGGTACGTATTTTGCTGTTGATTTGGAACTTGATAAAAATTTCAAAAGTTTGAATTTTTCGTAGTCTTCCTAACACTACCATATTGAAGATTGAGATTTTTTAATTCAATTGAAATTTCTTCTCAATTAGTTCTATAATTTATTCCATGTTTATTGTTTTGAAATCATTAGCAATTTTCGCACAATTTTGAATGAAATATGGAAAGTGTTAATAATAAATAAGTGAAAATGACCGAAAAATTTGGAAAAACGTGAAATAATTTGTAATTGTCGCCAGTTGAATGCATCATTGCAAGGTCTAGTTTTAAATATCAGACTTCATCAAGGAACAAGAGGTGCTAGAGAAAGACACAGACTTTCTCGTTCTAATTAGTTTTCTTGTTTCCTTAGTCTGGGATTTCTTTCTTTTTGTTCCATCTTCCCTGATGTAATCTACTGGTGAATATTATATATTTTGTTTCACGTTTTCCCAATTTCTATGCAGAAGTAAGTCGTGCGATCTAATCTAATCGCACAACGAATTCTCAAACAAATAATAGGGATCTGATCGGATTAGAATTTGACGTTATATTTTAAACGTTTTTGTCTTTCAATGGCTTTATGGGCACTAAGAAGTGTTGCGGGGGTGACAAATTCCTAATAGACGGCAAAGACAGCAAAAAAGAATATACAAATTGTCTGCCTTGATCTGTAGTGATTGTTTTAAAGATGCCAAAACGTGCATTTCATTATGAAAGGAAGGTGTCGACAACTTTTTTTGCAGTGATATATCGTAAAGGAATACTGTCAACCCAGCGAGTAACACAACGGATAATGGGTAGACGAAACTTATAATCCCCTAGAAAGGATAACAATCCAACTATATCCATGTGTACGTGAACGAAACGCAGAGTGCGTGAACATTTCTGTATTGAAGCAAGAGGTGGCTGGATTTTCGATACAAACTAGATCAAAACCCGATGAATTCAGCCGCTGTCAGAAGGACAATAATTCTAGTGGACGGCTACTCTGATCGGGCCTTCCGTTGTTGCTCCGGTCAACGCCAGGTGAATGCCGGAGTAGTACCCTAACAAACGGGCCACGTACTGCGCGCAATGTTTCCTTCCCCTGCCTTGTATTAACATCGCCCCTTACTTAGCCACTCTTACGTACTCTACAGCACACGTCAGATGACCATTCCGGAGCTTGTAGCTTGACCCGGCTAGGGTAGTGCCCCGCTGGTGGGAGATACCTGGGTGTTGAAAAGCCCGCAAACCGACGTCACAATCCAGCGTGGGTGAGTGGAGAGATCACTGCCACCTTCCTGTGATATGCATTACATAACGCGACCAATGATCATAGCAGTTGACGCGTTAGCACACACGAAATATTCAATACAAGTTCAAACTCAACAGTCCTAGTGTGAGGCGAAGGCAGGGGAACCCTACCCTGAAAGATACAAGTTGAATTCTGAATGCAGATAAAAATAAGCGTTTGCAAAAATGAGCAAAAATAAATAAGAAAATATTCGCTCCGCTGTAACAAAATCTATTTTGAATGGTAAATCAGTTATATATTTGGGGCCTTACCCCTCATTGCGTCCTTCGTGAAGTGATGTACTTCTATGTCACGCCAACATGGGGAACGATAATTTTCATAACTGTATTTCCCACTGACCTCAAAAAGACATACACAGATAGTGAAGTTACATTTATGTCCAGAAGCAAAACAAGGGGTCATTTCGGCATTTGGTCAGAGGATCAGAAAAACTGGACGAAAAACCTGCTTGAGATGGTCATTGTGCTAGAGGACGAGGTACAATACTTATTACAAGCTATTTAGAATTATACAGTACAAATAGTAATAAAACATCAATATTCAATCATGCATTTAATAATACATTGTTAAAATTAATATTAATTTCATTTTGATGCTCTGTATAGTCTCTAATATTGTATAGAAACAGTTATGCAGCCGAAAAGATTTTACTTAGGACTTAAACGTGCTTATCGGTTTTAAACGTTTAGTGTCATATGCAATGTGATGTAAAATAATGTGCAGGTATAGTGAGTGAATTTTTTATTGCGAGTTGTTGATACTGTCACCTGATGAATACGATTAGTGTAGTAGCTAAAGACATTGACGTTTGTTGAAAATATATTCCCATCCTTGAGCAAGCCATTTTTTACTAAAACTCCTGATTCTTAAATCAAGAGACAACGTAATGATAAAATTCCTAGATTAATAAATATAATGAAGAGTAGAGAATAAAGATTCATAAAGAGTCAGAGTGTTCGGGCTGTCCGGGAGGCGTCGAAATGCATTTCACCCTGAGGAAGGTCGCATAATGTCGCCCGAAACGTTGGCATCTTCGCCTTGGCAGCGGTATCTCTCTGACAGCCAAATTGACACTGTACTTTCTCAGGTTGTGTACTTTATACTTTCAGTACTTTATACATTCAGTACACTGTATACTTTCAGACATATTTTCAAATATCTGTGCGAAATGCTTCTTCTGCCTGGCAGTAGTGCCAACAGTAGACACTAGTACCAGCTGTTAATGCTTCAGAGTAAGTACAGTTCGGAGACCTGCTATTAAGATGTTAGGGATACTTTTTACGAGTCATTGACTACATTGTTTGGATATCGGGACTAAAATGAAATTTACAATGAATTATTTTTTTAATTTAAAGACATCCTACATACGCTAGACACCAAATTGGCTCTCTTTGCTGATGACACAGCCTTATTCACTGCTCATGAAGACATTCCCATAGAACAAGTGCGGATACAAAATAATCTGGAAGAACTAATACCGTAGACAGATCAGTGGAGAATAAAAATTAATCCAAAAAAATGCCAAGCGAAAATATTTACACTTCGTAGACCAAAAACTCCCCCTAACTTAAAAATCAATTGCAGCCGGAATCAATGAAATACTGGCATAATGAAAAAGCTTGGTGTGCTTTTCGATAAAAGATAATAATGAAACGTCATTACCAGAGCATTGGTAAATTTAGCCACGGGAAAATGTCAAAACTATACCCATTAATGACCAGAACATCTTTATTAAAAATTGAATGCCAGCTTATGATATTTAAATTAGTCATTGTACCTACCTTAACATATGCTTGCCCTGTCTGGGAAAACGCAGCACCCTCATCAATAGAGAAACTTCAGATGGTACAAAACAAATGCCTTAAAAAAATCATACAGACGCCGTTGTTTAAACCCAATTCTCAGATTCATGGGAAGGATTTAATGAAAAATCACATCTCTTCAAATTCGACTTTTTTATGCTTCACTCAACATTTTTTCATCTTAACAAATCAATTTAACGTACTTCGTAATGCTGTGAACCCTTGCCGAATCAAGTCCAAATTCCCTAAAGATTTCGCCCCCGTAAGTACATTATGAAACCAAATCAAACAGTTAACCAAACATGTAAATATTGAATAAGCACTAAACGAAGCCCTTCCCAAACCATCACCTAACAAACGAAGCAGCAATGTAAAGCTCAAAAAAGCAAGGATGCCCTTTCCTAATAATAAAAATACTACTATATACAAGCTCTTGAAAGGCCACACGGTCGAACAAGAACTATCAATTAAAATGATTTGATAATATTTGTTCCAAAAACCAACTGAAAATATGTACGGGCGTGAATTAAGCTATCAAACTAGTGTAAACGGACACGTTTACTTCATTTGCGAGAGCCGTGTTGTTTATTATCATCACTGTTTCAATAAAACTCATTGTACTAAATTTTATTCAAAGAATTATGCATGTATATAATATTTCTTACAAAGAAAATTTTACATTGTCCATTTCTTACGTACTATTACGTATATATATATATATATATATATATATATATATATATATATATACATAAATACTTGTACATTG